TGTGCCTCCGTCACCCTCAGAGGGAAGAAGTTCTTCCTCATGTTCAGCTGGAGTTTCCTCTGCTTCAGTTTGTGCCCATTGCCCCTTGTCCTGTCGCTGGGCACCACTGAACAGAGTCTGTCCCCGTCCTCCTGACACCCACCCTGCAGATATTTAGAGGCATTTCTAAGGTCCCCTCTCAGCCTTCTCCAGGCTGAACAAGCCCAGGTCCCTCAGCCTCTCCTCATAGGAGAGATGCTCCAGTCCCCTCATCATCCTCGTAGCCCTTTGCTGGGCTCTCTCCAGTAGCTCCTCATCTTTCTTGAACTGGGGAGCCCAGAACTGGACACAGCACTGCAGATGGGGCCTCACCGGGGCAGAGTAGAGGGGAAGGAGAACCTCCCTCGACCTGCTGGCCACACTCCTCCTCAGATGCCAACTGTTAGACTCCAGAGGAATTTGGAAAGTCCAGCTACAGTGAACACTGCAGTTGCCAAATACTTTGTCCTGCATCATAAAAAAATGAATGCATTTCTTTTTTTCAGCCAGCTCCAGCAGAGTGAGCTACAGCAGAGCGAGCGATCGAAGTCCTCCCCGAGTAACGAATGTGAATTGCCAGGCTAGCCTGTTCCCATGGGAATAAACTGGATCCACACTGGTATCTGCGCTAGAACCCTGCACCTCCAGAGCCATCCCACAAACCTTTTGTAGCTCCCGACTCCTGCGTCGTGCCCTGCACAGTCAGTGTTTGCCCAGCCGCGCTGCCAGCCTGCGCAGCAGGAGCTGGGCTGGGCGATAAAGCTCTTTCCTCCTGACCATGCACGAGCAAACCCATGAGGCCATCTGGAACGAGCCGCGTTCTGCTGGTGGGTGTTTGCAGGGTAGGAAAGGGAAAGCACTTGGTGACAAGGGACAATGGGAACAAACTGAAGCAGAGGAAGCTCCAGCTGAACACGAGGAAGAACTTCTTCCCTCTGAGGGTGATGGAGCCCTGGCCCAGGCTGCCCAGGGAGGTTGTGGAGTCTCCTTCTCTGGAGATATTCAAGCCCCGCCTGGACGTGGTGCTGTGCAGCCTGCTCTGGGTGACCCTGCTTGGGCAGGGGGTTGGGCTGGGTGACCCACAGAGGGCCCTGCCAACCCTGACCATTCTGTGATTTCTCATGCTGGGGAGGGCTCAGCCCAGGTGCTGGCGTTGGGGTGCAGCACACCGCTGGGCAGCGTCTTCCTCCTGCAAGGTGAGCAGCCGGCCCGGCAGGCCAAATAAACCCCGCTCTTGCCTTGAGAAGTCAAGTTGATGTGTCAGTATGCAGAGTTTGTGCAGGTGGGTGTGCGGGCATGCGCCGGCGGCACGGAGAAGCCGGGCATGAGCCGCTGAGGGGTTTGCTGGTTGAGCTATGCCAGCCTTGCTTGCCACTGCCCATAGAAGGAGCCTGAGGGGGTGAGCTAAGCGTAGCTGGGCTGATGCATTCATTCCCTCCTCAGCATGCCCAAAAGCAGCCCCTTCCGCAGCGGGGCTGTGAGCAGCTGCAAAGCCCTCTGCTTCCAACCTCTGGCGATCTGCTTGGAAGCAAAGATGCTCCTAAGCCTTAGAAACCATTTATTTGTGTGTGTCCTGGGCGAGGGGGGGTTGCGGTGGGGAGGACCCCCCCAAGGACGCGGGCG